CATCCAGTGACCCACGGTCAGCCTACCAGGAGCCACCCTTCAAGAAAGCTGACTTTCTTTCCCCCAGAAGCCATCTGCTGTCAATCAGTACTCAGTTAAGGGTGAGAGTTCATGTACCCTCCCCTCTCCATGTAAGTCTCTAACAAGCATTGTCCACCTATTCCAGGAAGGAAACCGCTCTGGTAGACAGGAAGCTGGATATGAGATACCAAGTCTAACTGCAGCTATGTCTTGGCAGCTGTGAAAGGAGTTAGCACCCTGTCATGGTAAAACTACAAGCCGATAACATAGACAGGAGAACAAAGGGAGTATAGTCAAATTAATAGCTAGCAGATCCTGCCTAGTTCTGTAACTAGCAACACCTTCAAAGTCAGCAAGTAGCAACACGGGCCAGAGCTAATTGTTAGCAGACAGTTAAGGGCAGCAGCTAACAAAATAGAAGTCAGAGGTGGCCAGAGAGAGGTCTCAACCCTTTTCCATGCCTCCTTAATTAAGCAAGCAGCTCATGAATGGAGCATGATCATCTCCCTAGTTGGCCAGGGAGACAAGGGCAGACAGTGTGGGCTCTCGCTTGGCTCAGATTATGCTTATGTTCACAGAACCAACCAATCTCAAGAGAAATTATCTCCGTCTGTCTTTGGTTTTGGGCCTTAAATTCTAAAGGGGCTTCAAAAGCATAGCTCTGTGGGTTTTTCCTCTCTTAGAGCTCCTTCCCATGTAGGAGATGATATAATCTTGACGGCAAACTTCTCTTGCAGCCCCTCTCCCACAACCCCAGCTTTGCTTGATTTTCAGGGTGCAGCTTTCTTCAATAGATCCTCTGTCTTTCTCCTTTCACTTTCTCTCAATAATAAAACGTCTTGTTAGTTTTCTTACATTTGTGTATGTGTGTATGTGTGTGTGTGTGTGTGTGTGTGTGTGTGCGCGTGCATGCGCGCGTGACCCTGCACATGTGTGGCGGTCAGAGAGCAACACGCAGTAGTCAGTTTTCTCTTTCCACCATGTGGGTCCTGAGGATCCAACCCAGGTCATCAGACTTGGCAGCAAGCGCCTTTTCCCACTGAGCCGTCTTACCAGCCCTCAAAACTGCCTTTTAAACATACCCTTCTGGTTGGCTGTGAACTTCATTCTTCAAATTTGCAAACAAGGACTTGAGCGGATGACTCGGTAGAGGCTGCATGCTGGGAGGGTCCAGCATCTTTACTCCTGAGTTATGGAACCTCTGCCTGCAATGGCACATCCTGTTCCTCATCTCATAATCACTTTAGATGTCATAGCTCAAGTTTTTTACTTCTGTCCTCCAAGAAATTACGGATAAGGATAAGAAGTTATGAGTGACCCCAGTGCAGGAAACTGAAGGCACACACTAGTTTAGAAGGTTGAGATCAGACTGGATGACAATAACTTCCAGTTTGCTATGTCATAGATGTGCTGAAAAAAAAAAAAAAAGAAAAGAAACTATTCTGTAATTTTTGGAATCCCATGCCTTTTTAATTCCTGGTAGGATTGTTGCCACACATAGCTGATCATTATTGCACTAGCATAGTTTTGTAGTTAACTGTAAGTGTTTTGAGGTAAGTCACTTCTCGGAACCCAAGCTTCCTCATCTATAAACAGGAGAACTAATCTTTTACAGAGGGACTCAGGATTAAATCGACATCATATATATGCATTTATTAGTGATAAGCTTTTAATGGTAGCCATTGCATCAACCTTATGGGTAGATAACACAATTTTTCTTCTTTTACTCATGGAGAAATTCAAATTTACTGAGAGAAAATTAGTTGTGATCATATGGTTGCTAAGTGACAGAGGCAGCAGGGAGGTTCAGGCCTCTGTGAGTCTCTTCATCGGTTGGTACTTTTCTTCTGTCCGGATGTTTGCAGCAGCCACACTGGCCAGGGAAGACAGGAGGTTGAAGTGATAACTCAATAAACATGTGCCCTAGAACTCGTCAGAGTGCTAACACCCTCTGGGAGCTTTTGGGAAAAGAAAACCCTCATGCTTTGATTCCAGACACACCCAATCAGAAACTTCTGCCCCTCAAAATGTTACCCAAATGTAAGTTTTAATGATGGTATGCCTTAAGGTGAACCTCTTTGTATTTATTGGTTGTGGGGAAATAAGGACAAATGTTGGCTTTACTTGTTGGCCCACAGTTCCCTGAGATTGTTTATATTTTTGGTGCATTTTTTTTCCTATTTATATTGCATGAATTCTACTGACCTGCCCTTCCTTTTACTAATTCTATTTTCGTGTTCACATTTTTCACTTAGTTTAATTAGTTTGTTCATTCAAGACAAGGTCTCTTTCTCTCTGTGTGTCCCTTTCTCCCTCTTTCTCTCTGTCTGTCTCTGTCTATCTGTCTCTCTGACTTAAACTTGCCTGAAACTCATCCTGTAGTACAGGTTGCCTTGAAATCATGGCAACCATTAGTTTACAAATCTTGATGCATCAGGTCACTCCCAGGTTGCTTAGCCACCTGTGATGTCATCATTGGTCGCCACCGCCAGGGCCCCTGGATAAAAGAACCCCTGCCTTTTCTCTCTCTCTTCTCTTGCACTCTTTCTGCCTCAGTTTCTCTCTTGCCCCCACCATGTCTTTCTCTCTCTCTCTTTCCTTCCCTCTCTCTCCACCTCCATATAGCTAATTTCTTACATATCAGATCTGTTGTATACGTGACATTTTTAAATATATCATAACAGCAACCCTCCTGCTTCAAGTCTCCTGGACGCTAAAATTAGAGTTGTGAGTGACCATGCCGAGATGCTATTTGATTTTTTTTTTTCTTTCTTTCAGTTTTAGAGTGCAGATGTGTAACCATGTGTGTGTATGCAGGTGCTCGTGCACATATCTGTGTGGAAGGCAGAGGTTGACTACAGATGCTGTTTCTCAGATTTCCACTTTAGCTTTTGAGACAAGGTCTCTTGCCGGACCCCAGCGTTCACTGATTATGCTAGGCCGACGGGTCACAAGCCTGAAGAACCCTTTCTATTTCTGCCATCTGGGTGCTGGCATTGTGAGTACAAGTCACCACGCTTGGTGATTGATGTGGGTTATGAGGCTCAAATTCAGGACCTCAAGTTTGTGCTGCAAGCAGGCTACTGACTGGCATGCTATATCCCCAGTCCTAGTTTCATCTTTTTCATGTATAATTGCTGTTCCTTCGCTGCAACTTTTTATTTCTTTAATTTATTTAAAGATAATTTATAATTGCTTATTGCGGTATTTTTAAGAACGGCTGCTTTAATATTCTTGCTTTGGGCAGGTGGTAGTGGCTCCCAGCACTCAAGAGGCAGAGGCAGATGGATCTCTGAGTTCGAGGCCAGCCTGGTCTACAAAGTGAGTCCAGGACAGCCAAGGCTACACAGAGAAACCCTGTCTCAAAAAAAGGAAAACCAAACAAACAAACAAAAAAAACCAAGCAAATAAAATTCTTGTTTGATAATTCCAGCAGCAGATTTGTATTGATACTGGCTGCCTACTGTTCATCTTTTTTAAATGTTTTTTTTTTTTTTTCCCCTGTGCTGCTGGGGGCTGAACCCAGGGCCTTATACACAATAGGACACAGAGCGATATCCCCAATCCTATTTTAAATTTTAAAAATTATACCCTGACAATTTTGATATTGTATCATGATGCCCTTATTTTATTAGCAGGAAACCCCCACCCCCATTTGAGTGGCAGAGAGTTCTGTTGGTGTACAGGTTTAGATTTCTGCCTCACTCCTGGCAAGAGTAGGGTGCCTCATCACAGTAACTCATTAAAGAGGATGTGTGGCAGGAAGCTCAGCAACCTTTGGCCTCACTGACACTCCTGAGGTGATCCTGTGCACTGATTCCTGCCATCCCGTTGTCTTCAAAAAGGGATGAAACTTAGTTCCCTGGTGGGATCCATTGTCCACAGAGAGGCAGGAAGCAGGAGACCTACCAAGAGAGGAGGTCAGCTCTCCATTGCTGCTGAAAGCGGTGAGTGAGGAGAACAGCGGGTCAGCTGGGATCTGCAGCCAACACTCTCGTTTTGTTTTCTAAAGCTGGGTGAGGGTGACAGGAAGGCAGGAGTGCTCCTCGGCTTTGTTTCCTGTTGAGTCTCACTGCTGACTGAAATTCAGCACTCCTTAGGACCCTGCTGACACTGAAGTACTGACTCCAGTGTACAGAGCCTCATCTTTTGGATGGTAGATGGTGGTGGTGGCAGCTTCAGTTTGGAGGCTATTGACACTTTAATGTGGAAAAAGAGTAACTCTGCCATTGCCTAGGCCTTAAGTGGAGACTAGCATCTGATTAAATACCCCTCCCATGGGATCTGGCAGGGATATCCAAGCATCCAAATCTAATGTCTCCAGATAGGAAATAAGAACACCCATACCCAAACCCACATAGTTTTCCCATTTGTTTGCCATGAGAAAGGCAGCTGTTAAACAAATGGCTTTCCACTGTGGAGGTTACCCTTCTTTTTTTTTATCTTTTGATCAGAATAATAAACTTCTCTATGAGTGGATTTTGTCTGTACCTGCTGGTCATTCATGTTCAGGACATGTGAGACAAGCCAAGAACTCACTGACATGTTGTGTTCTAAGCCCCAAGGTTCCTACACAGTCTGCCTTCTTCATCCCTCTCTATGGTGGTTCAGTGGTGTCTACCACTGTGAGAAAGAGTGCCTGAGGACTCTGAGATGCTCCCCCCTGGGCTGGGACCAGAACTTAATCTATACTCAACCTTAAGGACAAGCATCTAGCTAACAGGTGTGCCCCGTGAGTACCAAGAACCAATCCACATAAATTGTGTTTCAGCTCAGCCCAGTAACTACATCTGTCATCAACACTGTGGCACATTGCAAGAGTAACTTTTCCAGAGCAGAACGTCCTGGAACTAACTTCTGAGGGAGTACCACAACGCAACCACCTCAACAGTTTTTGTGTGGGAGCGTTGATATGGGCTCGATTCTCCAACTGATGGACTTTCCAGTGGACCAGAAACACAACAGTCAAGCAGTTTGACTAAAAGACATTTTATTGCACATGAAGAACAGAAGCAGAATTAGGTTACAGAGGAAAGTTGAAGACAGGTTTAAAAATAGTCACACTGGTGGAAAAGATCTGAGTCCACACTTGGAGTTTTGATGTGTTATTTTTCAGTATATGGAGGTCATTGTGCAGGCTTTGCACTGGGTAAACGGGACAAAAATGATGTTTGACATTCAGCCAAAGAGCCTAAGTCAGACTGCTTTCCTCTGCTCTTAAGTTCATAAAATGGATACATGTCTCTGTCAATATATTCAAGTAATGCATAGGTACAAAATGAGAAATCATAGCAAGTTCTTCTTTCCTTCTTCTGTGCTAACCTCATGTGTGTTGGACTTTAAAGGCAGCCATCAGCAAACACAGGTTTCCACGGACAGATGACACTAAAATCTCCCTGGGATTTTCAGTCAGCCATGGTAGGTGACTCAGGTTCGTGGAGAAGAATGTTGTATCAGGTTTGATCTGGCTTTTAAATTTAGGAAGAATAAAATGCAAGCTGTTTTCCGAAACACCACATTGCACTCACACACGTGCACACACAGACACGCATAGGCGTGCCTACACACGCTTTCCATTTGCAAGGGCTACTTCGTTGAGCTAAAGGGAGCACTTCAGCTGAACGCTGCATGGAACCTCAGCCTTGTCAGGCCAGAAGTACGGGATATGGTCTCCGCAGGTCAACCAATGTCTGTTGGAAAAGAAAATTACGTTAAGACACAGTAATGCTTTCGCTTTGTTCGTGATGCTACATTTTGACTCTGGTCAGAAATGTTGCAGCAGCACTTGACAGTCCCTTCCTTCTTCCAGCTCTCTCCCGTCAGTGGGAGCAGATTTGGTAAAGAGTTAGTAGAGCTGAGTCTCTGTATGAGTCTAGTAGTTGTCAACTCGTGTTTTAAGAAAGTTAAAAATAATAATAACAGCAATTTTTAGCAAGTGTCTGTGAGAAGAGTGACGAGAGCATCACACTGCTAGTGAAAGGTCCTACCTAAGAGCACATCTCTTTCCTGAGCTGTCCCACCATCCTCTGAGCCCTCTGCTGGAGATGTGGAATCAAGACTCAAATAGTGCCTTTCAGTTGTGTTCTCTAGTATAGACCCAAGGCAGTAGTGTTTCTTTCCTGTTATTGACTGGAAGCTAATTAAAAAAAAAAAAATGGTGCCTGATACCAATAGCAGTACCAGAACTGTGTCCCCCCCTTCTCTCCCTCTTCTTTGTTTTTTGCTAGAATTCAGGGGATGAGTCTACAGATTTCTTCAGATGACCACAGACCTTAGAGAAGCTGTTAGGGCTGTGATATATAACACACTGATATTATTGGGTTTTTCATATAAATAAATGGGTATACATATGTAATTTGAATTTTTGGAATCATTGTCTGTGCTATCAACTTCGGATAAAAACTACTACAGTTTATCTGTGTAAGTTGACATTGCAGAGAAATTAACAGCTATCTCAGTCGCGAAATGTTAAACTTAATTTTTTTCTATTTGTACAGCAGTAATGCACATGGTATTGGATGAGTAAGGTCTTATCTTGTGGGTTTGTTTACAGAAACTAGTGTTCTTTAAATAAAAAAAATGATTGTGGTAGAAAATCATTCCACAGGCACAGCATAACATTCTAAAGTTAACTTAGTAATTCTCCCTTCTGGTGTTTTATCGTTGAAGCTTCTGACTATTAGCACTTTTGTCCTTTCCTCTAATGTACATGGAAAATTATGCCAAACTGATGTGGTTTAATATTAGGAAGGACCTATTACTCAGCCAAACCCTTTAGGCATAATTCAAATTCCATAGGCTAGGAAGCCTTCCCAAGTGCTCTAATGAGAAAGACTCTCTCCTGTCTTCCAGCCCTTTAGCCTTTGCTTAATTCTTCTTTTATATGTGTGGCACACTTTTGTATTAGATATTATTGGTGCAAAACATTTTCCTTGGGTTCTTGCTTTGTCCCGTCCATTCTAGCACTCCCTCAGAAGCTGGTACGATGCCGTGTCTAGACACAGCGTATGGTGAGAATCAATCAAATCAACAGACTGCACAAACCACATCTGGATTGCAAAGGTGATCACTTCACCATGGAATTGGATTTTTCACTTTCGTTCATATTTACATTCTTTCATGATGAGCATCACCATTTTGATTGTACTGAAAATGTTCTTTCAAATGAAAAAGCTTATTCATTGTTTAGCCCAGCAACCTGACTCTGGGTAAATGCACTTGCTACCAAGCCTGGTAACCTGTCTTAGCTCCCTAAAGCCACATGTTAGAAGGAGGCAACAAAGTTTTGTGAGTTATCATCTGATCTCCACACATACATGGCAGCACACACACAACAGCACACACACCAAATAAATCTTTAAAAAAGTTAAGATTCCTGTTCTGAAACATTTTGTAAGTAATTGACAAAACAAAAGATGTGGGGTACCTTGAAGTTTCAGTGATCCCTGAAGATCTTTGTTTGTAACTGGCTACTGAGATTTAGATGTCTTCATAGTTGATACTGAGAATTTAAATAAAGTTCAGTGAGTAGGAGAGTAAAAAAAATACTTTATTAGAAATACTACATGTTCTGAAGATACAATATTTTTTTTCTCTAGGATGTCACATGAAGATGTATTTGATTTAGGCTCAAGCTGGTGATTGTGAAATATTATCCAGACCCTACACACACACACACACACACACACACACACACACACACACACACACACACA